CCCCCCCCAACCTCTCTAGTTGACGTCAACCAAAATTTACATGTACGTTTAGATAGAACCGGTACCGGATGCCTTTAAGTTAATTTTAGTTTTTAGACCCCCAAAAATAATGTGGTCCAATTTAACAGTGTTAATTTTAGGCCAAGAAAATGTGGTCTATAATATTTTTTCTCCCTTTCTTTTCTTTCTTTTCCCAACAGATTAGAGCATCATGGTTGACGTCAACTTTGTAAGGAACCCTCCCCTCTTGTCGACTTTTGTCTGCTTTTCAACGCAACAGCATGACCTTTCCACTTGACGGTGTTACCTTTGTCTTCTTTGGGGGAAGGAGAAGAGGGCGTTTTCCATTGCATGGAGGACATTTTTTTTTCTGGATCAAAATAATAAATCGATGTCAAATCCATAGTCATCATGTTTTTTAAAGAAATTGGTGTCCTTGGGCTCAATTCGAAGGAGAGTTTTGCAGTACTCAACCCTGTGCTTCTTTTGCTCACTTATCAAAAGGCGGGGTACTCTCCTCGCAGACACCTTATTCATGTCGTTCAGATGGTCATGGAGAATCGTTTCAATTGACCCTACACTGATTGTCCTTTCATTTGAGAATTGTTTAACAGATATACGTCAGCCTTGTAGAACCCGTTTCTTCACTACGGATTTAGTGGCTTGTTACCACAGAGGATGGGCGCCCTTCACGATCTTCATGAATCCAGATTTGAATTTTCTTACCCTGTATGTCACAGTATTATAACGAGGACATTTGTCACCGTAAACTTGAATTATTTTCTGGAAAATGCCCAAAGGGGAATTTCCTTGCTAGGGTAAAAACTTGATAACTAAGCGATATTCAACAGGCTCCGTGGTACAGCTTCAGCAAAAAAAAGCAATTTTTTGTGCATGGTGTCATTGAACACGCTGACTAGCGTTTTTATTATTGTCGGATTTTCTCGAAAATTTGCATGGTGTGTTTCAAAGAAATTGTCTAAAGGCTGGCAAAATTTCATTTCTCTACCATGATTCCTTCATACCCAGACCAAAGACTTATTAAACCCCTCTTGTAGTAGTAGTAGTAGTAGTAGTAGTAGTAGTAGTAGTAGTAGTAGTAGTAGTAGTAGTAGTAGTAGTAGTAGTAGTAGTAGTAGTAGTAGTA